TTTTGAGTTTATACCCTTTGAGTTTATTTCCTTTGAGTTATATTTGAGTCTTCTTTGAGTTTTATTTGAGTTTTACCTTTTGTGTACACATATCCTTACCCTCTTCACGTTAAGTCAAGTAGTATAGTTAGCAAGGCCAGCTCTCTATATTACAGTATAAAAGTGTAGAGACTATTCACAAGACATTGTTATCAAATAAATTTGTACAAATAAAGCTGTTTGATAATTATAGTGTATCAATACAACAAAAATGCATATTAGGTTTAAAAAAACAGTTACGAGAATTCATAGAAGAAGAAAAGAAGAATTTTTTTCATCCAAATAATAGCATTGTTTTTAAACAAGCCAAATTTGAAATTAACAATTGTACATATAATATTAATTATGAAAAGATTGATAAACAATTAGTCGAACTACAAACCCAAGCTATTGTAAAGTTAATTGATCATGGCTGAATTTCTCAAGAAGTATATAGATCTTTGGCTAAACTTGATAAATCACTAATCTAAGCTAGAGCAATTTATAATATAAGACAAGAAATCACATATAAAGTAAATAAAAAAATTTTTATTAGTTTAGTTGATATTAACCAACCAACTATTTTTGAGCCAATTACTAAAGAAGCTAATATTACTGATTCAACTATAGTTTCTAATATTATTACATCTATTAGAAAAGGTGGGTACTAACAAATTACCAATATACTTAATTATATAATTCCATTGTATATTCAAAAAGAGATTTTAAACCTGGCTCTACTTTGCACTTACATATATTCAAAGATAGCTGAAATATTAGCAAAAAAGCAAAGCATATTATGTTAACTATTGCACTTTTAAATAATTTGGATAAATTGTATAAACCCGAATCACATTATATATTAGTTTTATTTTCTAGTACAAGAAATTATTATATACTTCAAAACATATTTGCTCTTTTAATTTCAGATTTGCAATTTTTAAGTGAATACAGATTTTATGAGATTGAAGGATGATATTGGAATGTTGAATTATACTTTAGTTCAGACTGGAAATTTTTAGCCATATGCTTAGGAATGAACACCACAAATTCAAAATATTTTTGCCTGTGATGTTAGGCCATACAAACTTAATAAATTGGTTCTCATAACCCGGCCGGGTCAAATTTTGCAAAACTTTGAAAAAAAATTTTT